CGGAAATAAATGATCCCAAATTTTAGCTTGTTTTTTTAAAACAAAAGTAAAATGGGAAAGGTGAAAAGGATGAGCAGTGGTATGCTACATATTCATGTTTCTTGCTGTTGAACCTGGACTTTCTGCTATGGTTGTGGAGGGTTAACTCATTCCCTACTTGCTTTTTTTTTTTTTTTTTGGGAGATTACACCTTCTATTCAAGTGCCCTGCATTCTGGTCTTCATTTGGAGGTCATTTGAACTTAAAGTATACAAACCTATTTATATATTCTGAATCATCACTTGTTAATAATTTACTGATATGCATAGACTATTGCAGTTATGTATTAGCTTTTCTGAACATTGTAGTTAGAAATGTTCTGTAATTATTAAGTTTTATGGTGCTGTTTGAATGAAAGTTGAGTTAATGCTTTGTTTTTTTGTGCCTATTTGTTTCCTGACTTACCTTAAATAGAGGTTTTGAATGGATTTTTGGAGTCATTTGTTAAACATAATTTTTGCACAAATAGGCAGTGCTGACATTTAAGCAAATTTGATCTTAGAAGCAACCACAGTCTCACTTTTTTTAATCTTTTTTTTCTTTACCAGCAGTAACTCTTGTAACATTGCTTCTGCATTTCTTCAATGGTTGCTTGGGAGAAAAGCTCTAAATAATTTTTTTAAAAGGCTGATGATAAATAAAATGACTTTATTAAACCAATGTAAGAAACATTTAACTCTGTTTATGGGTTGTAACAAAAACGTGCTTGAGTGTGCCATCCCACCCAACAGTTGTTGTTTGAGTGTAGACAAAAGTTGATGGCACAAAAGCCACAGGATATACTTGACTGCAGGGTTGTGAATGCTTTCCTATTTCTTCCTTTGCCTGTTGGGACCCTCCTATGCTGGGCTGAAAACACTTGTGAACAAACAGCACAAACTCCTGGTGGGCCAATAACTGGCATGTGGGACCCTATGTTCTGAAGCTGGGAGTTAGCCATAGGGTCTCTTCTTGGTCAACCAACAGCTTCCTGACTGGTAGTGTAGCTTGTTATGAGCTGGGTCACTAGGGTCATCCCAAATTTCTTGTGGTCATCTTCTGGGTTGACTGAAGAGCTTTGTGTTTCTAAAAAGCATTGTTGATAGATGGAGCCAAAGTTAAGACTCTCTTTTAAAATGCTTTTTCAATTTCCTCTGGTTACATTTTCAGCTTGTCATCGTAACAAAATCTGAGTATACATGAGTATAACTCACCTTTTTAATGCTTCTACAATATCACCTTTATCCCCCTAGCAAATATTCACAGTACTAATGATAAGAAATATCTTTGTGCTGAATTACAATGTGTGAATAATGTAAAAAGTATTGGTATGTGAATTGTACAATTTAAGATGACCTACAATTTGGTTCAATGGTGGAGCGTATCTAAGGACTACTGGTAACATGAAGAGAGTGTGGTCCTAAAAAGATAGGTCTTCTTAGCCATCTTGAAAGATGAAATGGAACTGTTTGTGCACTGTGTCTGATGACATTTTAGGCTTGGAAGTTGTCAGCCTTCTGTTTGCACCTTTGTTTAAGTGAGCATCTATCTCTTTCTTTGCAAATACTAGCAAGCTTTCAAGGGACTTAAACCATGGAATATTTGTTGAAGTTTTTGTCTGTTTACCACTTTTGTTTCTGTGAGCATCTATTTCCTTTGTAAACATTGGCAAGCTTTTAAGGGACTTAGCCCATGGAATATCTATCAAAATTCTTGCCTTGGGCTTCCCTGCATTTTCCACCATGCTTAATATTTGTCCATCTGACATTTGCTTTCATGTTTTAGCATGGGTGCTTGTGATGAATGCAGGTAAGGTCAATTAGCTTGTCTGAGACTGGAAATGCTGTAAAAATCATGGACTTCATAAATGGACAAAATGGAAGTATCCGGTACTCATCTTATTTAAGCGATGCCTTTCTTGCTGGTGCTCAAGGTGTGACATCATTTGTGGTTTTTCTCAACTGAAAAATTTGATTTGGATCACTGGACTGAATTTCTCTGTCTTTTTAGCCTTGACTTACCTGACATCATAGGTAAAACTAGCCTGTCAGTAGCTTTTGGTTAAGCATTTCTCCCTGATTGCCAGTGTTCTCACCAGGATTTTGCATGTTGGGGTCTAAGGGTCCATCGAAACAAAAAAGTGGGTCATTTTAGAGATAGACTGGGTTATGTTTCAATTTTTCTTTGGAATTCCTGCCTGAAAACTGAATTTAAATTCAAAATTTAAAGGTGAACTGTACTTTATTGTTAATTTATACACAAAACATTTATCGTAACTGATTTTAACTACAGTAAAACAAAGGAGTACATTAATTATATTTCTGAGGACCATCTGCACAGGAAAAGAAATATCCACACATCTAGCATTATTACTCATTATTATGGGGTTGATATTGTAAACAAGTTGTGGCACGATAATCTCTTCTAAGAGAAGATAACTTTAATTTTCCTGTGGTTTTCATGATCGTGGTCAAATGTTCAGGAAATATAGAGGTAAAATATGCAATCTGGTGACAGAATTCTGTTATTATTATTATTATTAAATTTAAATTTATACCACGCAGTTTCTATAAAAATATTCAACTGCGCCTTACAATTAATATTAAATCAAAAATAAAATAGAAGTTCAAAATTACAATTCTAAAATTCCATGAATAAATAAATAAAATAATTCATTAATAATGCAATTTAATCATAACAACTATAGTAACTAATTAAACGCCCTATTAAATAAAAAAGTTTTAAGTCTAATTTTAAAAATATCTAAACTGGAAATAGATCTTATTGTGGTAGGAAGCAGATTCCAAAGTCTAGGGGTGGTACAACTAAATGATCTATCTGCCAGGGTCTTCTTGGATATTACTTTCGGGAAAGTTAATAAAGCTGTGGAGTAATCGTTGCGCCTTAAATTATACCTAGATGGCGGCAAGACAGATATTAAATGGCGCAAGTAATCGGTAATTAGAGTGCAAAGCCAAACAGGTATATCTGTTGCACACCACTATCAAATGTAAATGGGTTTGAAATTTTTGCCATTGTGCAATTGCCCTAATTATATTTTGAATATCCTTTTTGTGATTAATCTGAGGAGAATGGGTGGGGAGGTAGAAGTGTAAAATAGAATTTTTCCACTCTGCTCTCTCTTTGAGTACTTAAACACTATGGAAAAAACAAACTTGGTTGACTTTTGAGCAATTGGTTACAAAAAAAAAAATTAAAAGATTTTAAACCAGGATTCTTTAACATACTCTAACTTGTGCACATTACCTAGTAAATGGGCTTGTTTTCAATTGATTCCCCATTTGAAGAGCTTTGACTATAGTCTGGACTCTCGACAAATTTTGTATATATGATGGCGTTATTATCACATGTTTGGTCTTGTTGATGGTAGATGTGCAGGAAAACAATCCTGGAGTGTCTTTCCTTGTTTGGAATGGAAATAATGAATTGTCTTGGTTTGTTTTATATGGAAATGATTTTGAATTGTCTTAGTTTGTTTTGGATGGAAATAACTACCAAGTGTTTTGGTTAATTTTGAAGGGAAACATAAGGTGTTGGTGTACAAAGGTATATTTAGTAAATAAACCCCTTTGGGTGGCTGGTCTGTCGGCTGATAATGTCTGGGGCTGAGAGAGTGCGGGAAAAAATGAATATTTGGCTGAGAAGCGAAGCTTTGAGGGCAGATATGAAATTTGGAAGAAAATCTCTCAGCCAAGGACATTATCAGCTGACATACTAGCAAGCCAGAATGGGGTTTATTTATTGTATAACCCTCCCATTAATTTTCACATCGCAATTAAACTGCGTGTAAACACAGTAATAAAGCCAGCGGTGATCTGGTGGCGAATGTGCATGATTGACGCAAGCAAGCAAGTACATTTGATTGGTTTAAATAATTTATTTTCAGTGTGATTGGACCAAAACTTGACAAGCTGTCATTTGAAATTAACTCTCATAACGCCCCTTAGATCAAAAACTCAAACTTGGCACTATTGGTTCACATTTTCCGATGTGCTGTTAAAAAACTTGACTAGAAAGAAATGTTTATCAGTCTCAGGAAAAAATCAAATCATTTCAATTGTCACTTTGAGGACTAAAAAAGAAATTATATCCGTGAAACACAGAATGTGAAAATTCTGGAGCACTTAAAGAATTTATGTTGAAGGTGGACTATTGGTAAACCTCCTGGTTTCATTGTTGAATTGCGGTCGAGGACGTTGCTGCCAAAGGCGAAATAGCTTGTGGTGATTCAGCTATAAGGGAAGGTTGATCGGGGTTCTGCTTTCTTACAAAACGACTGATGATCGCGGAAGACTCAAACTGTTGCTCAATGGTTGGTTGTGCTCTGTAAGACTCGATGGATTTATCACTTGCATGACCCATTACGCTCTTTACTCAGCAGTTTTCTAAGCCGGCAGCTTCGAGGACAGTTACCCATGTGGCTAGAATGCAGTGGGGAGTGTAGATATTTGCAAGACCAGCTTTTTTTCCACTCTGCTCCTTGCTTTAGCAAGCATTCAATATCAAAAAATTATTGATGTTACCTGAAAAGTTGTGGGGCAATTCCACATGAGACTAGAGAAAATTCCATTTTTTCAAATTAGTTTACAGATGAAAATATGGTATTAATTACTAAGTATATAGATTACTCTTCCTTAAAACACGGTTTTGGGCACAACCAGGGTGCCAGTGTTTCAGGGGGGGGGGGGAGGTGTAGTTAAAGCAGATGTCATTTTAACTTTTGACCACAATCATTCAACATGAAATGTTTGACTCTGAATATATCTGAGTACAACAATCTTTAATTCCTTGTTCTTTTATTTGCAAGAAAGTCCTTACCAAATCACTTATATTTATGGAAAAAAGTTGACCTTACTGTTTTTGCAGAAAAATTATCTTGTGTCTGTGACATTTAGTGCAATTACTTTAATTTTCTAAACAAAAATGTTACTAATTATCAAAATATTTTAGGAGCAGTCAGTATTAGTAAATAAGCATACTTTGACCAAATGAAAAGATCAGAATAGCTCTTGTGTTTGGAACCAGACCAATGCAAACTTTGTCATGGACGCAACGTCACGGACGTAACATTTCTAGTACTAACAAATACTAATATTAAGTTGATAATTCAACAAAGAGCCCTTCAGTAACTAGCCTCTAAGATGCTTTAGCTTTCAAAAAAGCTAAGTTTGCTTAGTTTCAACTGCAAAGTTTATGCATAAACTTTCAAGTCATTGCATGCGAAGTTTAAAATGTTATCCAGCCAGAAATTGTCTATGCCTTTTTACTTCTATTCATGGCCTTGATTAAGTTTTGAACACACTGTAGTTCAGGAACCTTGAATGGACCACTGATGAACATAGGAACTGTAATAGGGCCAAAGAAAATGCATGACTGATGGACTTGTAGCACATCATCCCGCCCTAGCCAATGGAAGGTTTCAGCTCCCACACGATGCAAGAATTTAAGTGTCACTGAACTTTCACTCACTTTTAAGACTCTACCAAAGTAGAAGTTTTGTACAAATGCCACTGCATAGTACTCCCGTACTTTAACTGTTGGACCTGGGATTGAGTATAGCTTTCTTTGGTGAAGCTCTACAATCATCACCTGTCTGAGAGCTGGTATGTTGTCTTGGACTACCATTGGGCATCCTTTGGCTAAACATCCAGCATACATACAGGTGAAGATGCTACAATCATACCCATTTTGCTGCTGGGGGATTTCTTTGCACATGTTGACATACAACGACCACTCCTCCTGTTGGAAATCAGTTGTGCTGTTGTTGAATCTCAGCATGGTTATCACTTTTGATAGAATGTCTTGTGTGCTTGGCTTCACTATCTCACCAGATAAACTATCTAGTACTATGACAGACTTCTCTTTGCACAAAATGGCACACAGAACCCAATGCCTTCCACCACTATTACAGGGAATAAGGATGATGTCCTGCTGAAGCAGTTTCTTTTCTTTTATCTTTTCCACAGCTACTTTTTCAAACTCGTCCCATTTCAGCACCTCAGCTGTACATTGCCCATGAGAGCATTCAGATTTAATGAAGTGGAGATATGAATCATTCACAAAGTTTGGAATCCACTTTTCTTCATCAGTGTCTCCTTTGCAATCTAACTCTTTCAAATCAGAAAGTGAGATCAGTGTGTTACCACCAAACTCAATACTACCATTTACTATCAGTTGTGCCAAGGATGAACTGGATGGATGTAGGTTAACATTGTTAGAATTATCAAAACATTTTTGGATTTCTTCAGGTAATCCCAAATGTATGTCATTAGCAAGTTGCTCTGTACTTTGCATACAAAGAGCGGCAAACGTACATGTACAATCTGCAGATCTTGATACATTATCAGTTATCTCTACATTACTTGATATAGCATGATTTCCATCTGTCTCTTGACTACCATCTGGCATTGGGTCTTCTGGTATGGACACATCTCTGGAATCACCGTAAAAACTTTCACAATAACTGTAAACGTTATCATGATTGCTTTTCCCTGGCTGACTTGAATATAAACGAGAAAGCACTTTTCCTTTTGTTGGACTTGGCTCAATGCCTTGCATCCTTTTTATTCCAGCAATCGCTTTGGCTTCTTTAAAGCACTCTTCAAGACACCAAACTTTGCCTGCCTTTGAAATATCTTCTTTCAAACAGAGACTGACATTAACAGACTTACAGAACTATCTAGCAGTGTCAAAAAATTCCTCTGCACTGACCACTCTTGTTACTTTCCTTGTTGAGACAGCAGTCCATACAGCTGTCTTAACACTACCACAAACACCATCTACAACTCCCTTTCCATGAGAGTGGCAAAAAAATTCCAAGATTTGATTTTGAAATCAAGTACTTGACTGGAATAATAACTGTTAATGAACCGGTAGGAAGTTCATAGGAAATTAACAAACGATAGGTGTTTCAAACTAACAAAGAGCACTATTTCAGCAATAGTGAAAATCGGACCTGAAAAAATTCAGGCCTGTGTGGGATTTGAACCACTGACCTCTGTGATAGTAGTATTTTTTTATTTCTAAAGGCTCAATGTGAGCTATATTATTTACAATTAAGGGTTCGTGTCATTCTTGCGTTGTTTGTTCTCGTTTTACAGTGTGGATATGCATTTGCTTTGCAGTGTGAATATATTAGAATGTTAATACTAAGGTATCGTTTTGAACTTTGGCAAAGGCTTCGCCTATGCACCATTTGAGGCGGAAGTAGTCATCTGTGTGTCATAGTTTGGCTAGGTTAAAGTGCTAGGTGAGGTGAGCTTGAACAGTAGAACGGAAGATCGTGACGGGTGAGATGCGGTTTTGGTGGAGACGGTATTCAGTGGCAGATTTGTGAATGGTGTATCGTGCTGTGGCGAGTGCCGCGTTGAGGAGGGAGGTGGTTGTTTTGCATGGAGGGTTGTTCTTGGTGCGGGTGTATCCAAAGAGTTTATTTGTTGAACTGATGGTTAGTTGCTGTTGTGTGATTTTATAAGCACAGGTGGTTATCAGATTCGAGAAGTGGTGTAGATTGGGGCAATCGATGATAAGCTGTTCTGTTTTCCACAGCATTGTAGTGTGGGCTTTGGGGTGTTGGGTGTACTGTCATCCTATAGAGTGAGAGCGCTGTCAGTAAGATGTGGTGAGCAATCTTCCAGTTGATGTTGCCGAGTTTGTTTGGGGAGCTTGGTGGCGTCGTTAAAGTTCGCTTTAGGGGTAAGATAGTTCCATTGATCTAGGGCGGGGAAAACTCGTCACGGCTTGTTCTGAATTTGCTTAGTATGTTAGTACGTTAGTACCTTAGTACTCGGTACAGAAAACTTGTCACGGCTTGTTCTGAATTTGCTTAGTATGTTAGTACGCTAGTACGTTAGTACCTTAGTACTCGGTACAGACAACTCATCATAGCTTGTTCTGAATTTGCTTAGTATGTTAGTACCTTAGTACTCGGTACGGAAAACTCATCACGGCTTGTTCTGAATTTGCTTAGTACGTTAGTACCTTAGTACTCGGTACGGAAAACTCATCACGGCTTGTTCTGAATTTGCTTAGTACGTTAGTACCTTAGTACCTTAGTACTCGGTATGGAAAACTCATCACGGCTTGTTCTGAATTTGCTTAGTACGTTAGTACCTTAGTACTCGGTACGGAAAACTCATCACGGCTTGTTCTGAATTTGCTTAGTACGTTAGTACCTTAGTACTCGGTACGGAAAACTCATCACGGCTTGTTCTGAATTTGCTTAGTACGTTAGTACCTTAGTACTCGGTACGGAAAACTCATCACGGCTTGTTCTGAATTTGCTTAGTACGTTAGTACCTTAGTACTCGGTACGGAAAACTCATCACGGCTTGTTCTGAATTTGCTTAGTACGTTAGTACCTTAGTACTCGGTACGGAAAACTCATCACGGCTTGTTCTGAATTTGCTTA